TTTTCCCAAATTCCAAACCTTATCAATTTTATCAATACACAACTGATACGTACCGATGAAAATTTCGGTAATTCGTGGCATAGAAATAACTAAATTTATCAGTAGCATTTTCATCTTCCAACATGTCAAAATCAGAAGCTAATTTAAACTCTTCATTCGTGGACATTCGAAATCTGGATAATGTATTCGAAATCGGAGATACGTCGCAGAATTCGTAAGAGAGTTTAATTATCTTATTTTTACTTACGTTGAATTTTTGTACAAAATAATAAAAAAATACAAACGTTTGAATGAAAATCGAATACAAATATTATATTATACTTACTTCAATTTAGGATGTCGAGAGAATCCTGGGATGCATTTAAATATTATCCCCTGACAAAACAAAGCGCGTCTATGCAGGACAAAAAATGGTTAAATGTTTCCATTCGCGTTATTAAAGCATTTGTATATGTCTTTCTTTTCTGTTCTGTCCTCTGCACTGGTTTAATCGCTAAATTCGTAGTACTATTCGCTGTGTCGCAACTTAAGGATGAAGCAACCGTACAGTTTTGTAATTATGATTCAGGTAATTCTTAAACTATCAAAAAAAGCTTTAATATGTAGATAAAAATAATATACATAACATTTAACGTCACAGGAAAAAATGAAAATTTGCAAGCAAGAATTTCGAAAAAGGCTAAAATAGTCTGGACGTGGTACATCATCTTTATGTTCCTTATACCCGAGTGCTTCACTATATTTCGAGCGATATGGTATTTCCTTTTCAAGAAGAAAGTAAAATTACCAGGAAGACGAAGTATCGCTGTTTCTTTGGTTTTGGAAATACTGCATCCCGTAGGTGTAGCGTTATTAATATTCTACGAGCTGCCGAAGCTCAATTCTGTAGATGCAGCAGTAATTTTTAGTTGCATTTGTGTTATTCCTTCATTATTGAGTAAGTGCATATAATACATTCGTTTATTATATATTATTACATTTATTTATCATACATTAATTTATAAAGGGCCATCAGATAAAATAAGAATATTATCATTACAGATCTGCTTGCACAAAATAGGAAAAATACATCGAACATGTTTTTATTGATACTAATAATCAATTTCTTAGCATTAATTGCTCAAGGCACTGGCGTGATTTTATTATGTTTCATACATAATCCTCAAGATTTTCAGGGATGGGTTCTTTTTATAGCGCTTGTATTGTCTTCTTGCCGTTGGTGGTGTAATTACGTGCCTTGTTCTAGTTATTATGGTAAAATTTTTTCTTATAATTTTAAATCTATTATTTTCTTGTTTTAAATATATGACGATATTTTCTCTGTAATTTAATAGGTTCCTTAAATTTTCTGGCAAAGAGTAAGACAGATAATTGGCACGTGTTTAGAGGGTACATGGCATTATGGAGATGTTTAATTTTTATTTCAAGCGCTGTCGTGATCTCGACTTTTGAGGGGATTCGAATAAACGAATTTTTCGGATTTATATATGATAATAGATACACAGTTGAAGTAATCAAAATGTCTTCTTCTCGAACGAACGTGAATGTTTTAATTGCTTTTAGCGATAAGTCTGTACCATTGAACAGTTTTTTAATGCAAGCATTTTGTGCTTTTTTCATATACAAAGCAGGTGAGACAAATTTTATTGAGATTATAGTAACAAGGATGTGATATGTAAATCGTATATTTTGTACTTTAATTCAAAACTGTTTAATATTTTTACAGCAAAATTCGCGTATCAAACAGGAATGCACAAATTCGGCTTCGCCCTTCCATTGACTTTAATTACACCAGGAACAGTGATTATAATTCTGATGTTTTGTATTGCAAGGGAAAATGATCCGTGCGCCTTGCATGGTTTAATACCAGATTACTTATTTTTAAATGCACCAAAATTTAATAGTATAACAGAATTCCTTTTGAATTGGCGTATTTGGTGCTGGCTAAGTCTATGGTTGTCACAAGTTTGGATCACGCGACAAGTTTGGCTCGGTGAACATGCTAAGCTTGCTCCAGTAGAGAGGATTTTCCACAATCCAAGCTACGACGCTTTTTTCGTCGATCAGTTTCTGGGATTAAATAAAAGAAAACATGACGATTCTCATACTGTTAAGAAAGAGGACGAAGAAGAAGAAGACGAAGAAAAAGAAGAAGATTCTATCAGTGAATTTGAGGTCTTACTTTA